GGAAAAGAAGAGTCCGAGCACTGAGAAGGTGGTGACAGCCATATCATTCAGATCTGCAGGAACAAAGGTTAGAGGGGTCAGAAAACCCTAACACAGCAGGATCCACATTGACTACCCAGCCCACAGTGCTCCCTGAAGACTATTTCATTTATTGGGTACTTGGACAGTATCCCAAAAATAATCTCCTCAGTGTCTAGTGTGGTACTTTGCACAAAAGTAAGTGTCCAACAAATGTTTGTTGATGAGAACAGAGTGGGGTTGGTGATAGAAAAGATGGTGGGAAAAAGTACATATGAGATGGTGTTTTATTATTATTTATTATATTATTATTATTATATTATGTTATTATATATTAGAGAAATATATATTTTGAGCAAAGGGCCAGGGGATTTAGTTTATCTGACAGGGTCATAGCCTAAGGTTCCCCGGAAAAGGGATGGAACCCCTGTGAGAAGAAGAAGGGAGAGATGTTATCACAGCTCTGGGATGCTCACAGTCTCTCAGGCCCAGCAGCACAAGAGAGGCAATGCCAGTGAGGGTCATAGTGAGCAGCAGGATGCCCCGGCGGCCGAAACGGTCAACGGTAACCCCAAGGAAGACACAGGCCAAGCCTCCTGTACCACCAGCCAGCAGGGAATACAGGTTGAAGTCGACCTGGGACTTTCGTCCCACTCCTCCTCCCACAAGCTGGTAGCAATGCCTAATCCCATGGGCAATGAAGCTGTAGGGGGTGAGACAAATGGAAAGACCTTGAGTCTTCATCCCACAGCTCCCTCACCTCTGCTAGAATTCCTACCTTCAGTTTTCTAGAATCCAGGCTATAAAACCTATGTGGAATTCCTAATGTCTAGCCCACTGGGCTAAAGGGTCTGCACCCATTCCCACCTCCTGACCTTGGTGCCAGTTAGGTCTACATTAGTTCTGCCCACCAACCACCACCCCTTCCCTCTTTGTTCAATGCTCACGTGGTGAAGCCCAGGATAAGCAGATTTTTCCAGATGTTGCGACAGCTGAGTAAGGCTGAGAGGGAGATCTGGGCAGTTGCAGGAAGAGGACAAGTGTTCTCCAGATCTTAGGAAGGGATGGAAAGAGGGAAGCATACTCCAGAAATCAAAGTGGTTTTGTGGGCACATGCCTAAGCTTACACACATATTGATCTGGTCCCTGGGAGGGAATGTCTATAGCCAGAATCTCCTCTGGGATGTAGGGACCTGTTTTTAGAGTGGGAGACCTCTCTGAGGCTGGTTTCCATAGTAGGAGGCCTTGCTGGCCTGTCCAGGTCTTAAGTGTGTATCCAGAGAGCCACCCACACTTAGAAGTTATTTACCAGCTAAGAGCTGTCCAGTCTTCTTCCCTGGGTTCTCACCTTGCAAGGCTTCTTCAGCCTCATTCCCCAGTGGCTCCCCTTGGGGTCTGTTTCTTTGAGCCAGAACTCTCAACACAGCCTGGGCCTCTGTTGTCCGACGAGACGCCAACAGCCACCTGGAAGACTCCAGGAACAGACCTGGCCAGCTAGACAGGCAGGGGAGAGGAACGAGGGGAGGGAGGGAAGGAGAAATAAGTTCTAGTCACAGTGAAGGCTCCTTCATGGTTGGGATTCCCTATCCTGGGGACCTTCTTTGCTAGTCCTGGGGAACGTGACGTTCCCACTGCTGGGAGGCTAAGACTGGGAAAAGAGCTTTGGGAGCAGGAGACCTCAATGGCGGTGATGGTAGAATGAGCGATCGAATTGGGGTGGGGGAGAGGATTGAATTTATAGCAGATGTTCCCTAGGTCTATGGACTAGCTGGTAGAGGGCATGGGGAGGGTACTGACCCATACAGCAGGAAGAGAATACAAGGAGCTGTGATCAATCTGAGCAGAAGTCTCCAGTCCTTGCAGGCCAGAGCCAGGCCCAGAAGCAGAAATTGTCCCACTACTCCCATCAGCTCTCCGGCCAGGACTGCCCGGAGCCGCTGGGAGGGCTCACATAACTCCAGGCCTGAGGACATGGTAAGGGCAGGTTCAGAAGAAAAAAGTGGACAATATGAGAGAAAGAGGAGGAAGCAGGGAAGGAGAGGGTACAGGGGGAAGAGGGGTACCAGCGGTAGAGAGGTTAGAGTTAGGTGAGGCCTTGGGGAAGGTGAGGGATCTGCTCTACAGAGATCAATGGCAGTCAGTGATACTAGACTCAGCATTCAATGAAAAGAGCATTGGAAAGAGAGTCAGGAGACTAGGGTTCTAGTTTTCACTTTGGCACTAGCTGACCTTGGGTAAGTGGATTCACATTTCTGAGCCTTAGTTGTAAAATGAGGTGGCGTGACTAGATGATCTCTAAGGGCTCTACCATTCTCTGCATCTGTGAAGCTGCTGGGAGATTGAATTATCTGGGAGATATGGAAGGGAGGCAGGGAGGGTAGAAGGTGGAAGTTGGGTGAGGGGCAAGGTAGGGTTAGGGTGATCACCATAAGGAAGCTGCAAAGGGCAGGGACTGTAGGAGCTATACTCACGGGTCAGGTAGAGGCCAAGGTCAGCCCCAGCTAGCATGAAGCCCAGGAGGAATCGGAGAGCAGTAAGACCAGGTGGGGAGCCAGCTGCAGCCCCTCCTACCCCACAGGGTCCTGCCAGCCCCAAGGCCAGCAGTACAACTCCTCGACGTCCTACCCTAGAGAAAAGGAGGACCTTCCATCACAGCATCCCACAGCCTTCTCCCTCATCCCTGAACCAAGGTCAGTCCCATTGAATTGCTAAGATTCAGATTGGTGTCCTATGGCATAACCTAATGGCATATGAGAGCATCAGGGTTGGGGATGGGGCTACAGATCACCATGGGACCTAGAGGCCTGTCTTCTGATGGTGGGCTACCCCTCCCACACCCTCTTCAGAAGTTCTTCTTGGTCCCCTGGCTAGTCTCCTTCATGTCTCTCAAACCTGGCTTCCCTTAGCTCACTTTCTCCTTAGACTGGTCTAGTGCAATGCACTCCCACCCTACACACACATACCTGTCTGTAGGATGGCCCAGACCCAGGTAGCCACAGGCAAAGCCCAAAAGGAAGAGGATCTGCTCCAGGGTTACCTCCCAGCCCCTTTCACAGACTAGATCCCACTGTGGAGGGGGAGAGAAGGCTTTGCTGGGATGGAGAGGGCAGGAGATCCTCCAGCCCAGCCCCAAAGTCCTTTTCCTCTCCACTACTATCCCTCACCCTCACCTTCACCCTCACCTGAGTGACCATGTTGCTGGTGAGGACAGGGAGACCACTGTAGTCCCAGCCATGGGGGCATCGGGTGCTGTTGGGTGGGGGTGGGGAGCAGGCCTCTTCGCTGGTGTTGAGGGGCGGCTCCCACCCTGAGGCATTGGCCTGGCGGCATCTCAGGGGCGGCACCAGCGTGAGGATGGGGTCTGAGGCCAGACCCAGGGCCACGAACAGCAGGGGCAGGCAGCTCAACCCTAGCTGCACCTGCTGGGCCCTCCCCACCACCCCCACCTGCGAGAGCAGCGACTCGAAGCTGGGGGGCCCTATGGGGGCTGCCAGGGACAGGCTGCTCCCCAGTGCATCAGGAGCCGCTGGTCCCCCTTCCCCCTCCCCTTCGCCCTCCCGTGGTTCCATTCAACCTGGGGCAAGGAGGGACCCAACCTGTAAGGAACAAGAGAGAAAAATAGGGAGGACGGGGAGGGACGGAGAATGATAGGGGAGATGAGAGGAGGGGCAGAGGGAGAGAGATGGTGGGATAAGAGCTAGGTGAGGTCTATGCACCTTCTGGGGGCCAGTCACTCACCCCTCTGGGGCTGGTGGGGGTCTCTACGGCCCTGACGCCGTTGCTGCTCCCCTCATGGGGCGAGGGGGTCCTGGTGGCCAAGGAGCCCAGGCCTACTGCTGTGGCTGGGTTGGGGGGGGTGCCTCCACTCCCCTCCTCTTCTCTTCTTTCCTTTCCTTTGACCCAGTCTCCCGCCTCCTTCTCCCCTCCCTGCTACTGATTGCTCCGGCCCACTGCCTGGCCCTCACTCCATGGCTTTGCTAGATTTCGCACCCTACCCCCCCTTCCTTTCTCCAGCTCTGGGCTCCTTTTTCTCTCCTCCCCTTCCTTTAGACTCTCCTCCCCTTCCCGGGTCCTTCTGGACTCACCCTCAGAGGGAGGGAACCTCACTCTATCCGCCCTTCTTCTGAGTGGCCTCAAGGCATGGAAACCACAGCACCAGGGAAACGGGAGAAGGGAGAGCCAGGAACGGGGTGGAGGTGCTCAGCCAGCTTGCTCTTCAGACAGCCCAGGGTGGATGCCAAAGGCTTCCGATGCCTCAATCATTGATAGCACTAGTAATGGGGAAAGCTTGCTGGATCTGGGGCTAGAGGCCCTGAGTTTAAAGCCTAGCATTGCTACCCCACGCCAGTCCAGCCACCTTTCTGGTGTGTATGTGTGTGTGTGGGGGGGGGGGGAGGTGTGCAAGGGGGGTGGGGGAGTGAAATAGATGCCAGTTCAAGATACATTAACCTATAACACTTTCCCACTCCCTGAGAAAAAGTCTTGGGGGGAAAAAAGGGACTCTCCTATTTCAAGGGAAGAACCATAAGGAATTTTGGATATTACTGCATTATTAAACAGTCCCAAGCAAGAACTCCAATTCACTGTAGTATCCTCTCCACATTTGTTCCATGTTTATCATAGGATGCAAGGGATCACAAAGGCCATCTAGTCCTACATTACCCCTTCCCCCCCCCCCCATTCCCCCTTCATTTTACAGATAAAAGAACTGAAGCCAGGAAAGCCCAAGGCCACACCACTTGTAAGTGTCACAGTCTGGACTCAAACCTAACACTTCTGACTGCAGAGTCAGCACTCTTTCCACTGTTCCACACTGTTTCATTTATTTAAAAGGTTTCTATTTCCTCAGGCCCTGTATATGTGTCTTCCCTCACACCAGTTCTTAAGTCTGTTCTCATTCCCAAATACAATTTTTGGAGAGTAAGGGCTTCTCTTCCCCCAAGTATCTTACTCATCAGCACAAAGACAGACAAGTACAGACATGGTTGACAAAGAGCAGGTTTTATTGAGGCGCACAGTTCCAGTTTATGATACTGTCTGCCTTCCCCTTCTTTCCCCCACAGTCTTCTCAGGGGCCTTCCCATGATCCCGTATTCAGTTCCAGAAGATTTCCAGCTTCAGCCACTCCCTCATGGCCTAAGGTGTGGGCTCCTTGCTTCATCCTCACCTCACCATCTCCCTTGGAGATGCAGAGAGTCCTGAGCTTACCCTGACCTCAGGATGCAAAGAAGTGGCTTCCCTGTTCCTCCAGCATTTTGCCTTTGTTGTGTATTTTTTCTTCTTGACACTGAGCTGGGGAAGGTAAGTGACCAAATGCCAAGATGGGGGCAGGATGAGAAATCCTCCCCCCAACTACTATGGCAGACCATGTGCTTCCTCTTTCCCTCCCCTAACAATTTGGGGAATAATATTAAATATAAATAATTTATATAAAATGGTTCGTACAAAAAGCTGCTGAAGGAGGAAATGGAAAAGAGAAGGAGAATCCACAGTGGAGAAGTAAGGGAGAATGAGATGATCCTAGGGAATGAAAAGGCTTGAGGAGGGTCAACTGCCTATCACACTCCCAGTATCCACAGGGCAGCCATGGAGCAGGGGGCTGACAGGGTTAGGGACCTCCCTGAAGTCTCCAGAAGACAGGGGAGGAGTTGGTCATTTCAGACAGGGGAGGGAGTTCTAGGTTGGGTTGGAATTGGGCAGGGGATGGGGGTGGGTTGGGGGGAAAGTATGGAAGGTGTGATGCTCAGGGTGCTAGGCCAGTGAGCAGGGTGGTGAATTGCAATGCTTGTCCAGCCAACTCAGCAACCCGCTGGGTCATCTCTCGTGCAGCAGGGCCTGAGGGGTAACCTAGGGCAGCACCCTTGACAGCCAGCACAGCTGCTCGTAGTGACTGACCCAAAGCAGCCCCGGCGGTGCCAACCTGGGCACGCAAAGGGGCTGATGCAGCCAACCGGCCCAGGGTGTCTCCTACAAACACCAGCCGGTGGGCTGCTACTACCACCCGTTTGCTGTGGGGCACAAAGAGGCGAGGGGGATGGTTGGCTCTCGTACTGGCCAGTAGGGCTGCCACAGCTGCCTGCAAAGCAGAATAGTGGCTTTGGCACTGTCCAGCATAGAAGTGTAATAGCTGCAGGTCCCCGGAAGGCAGATCAAGGGGATCCCCTGGAATTAGGGCCTCCTGCGGGGAGGAGAAGGAGCATTACTAGGGAGGCTGTGCCAGAGCCCCCACCCTTAGGAGCAGCTGACAGAGCTTTCCCCAAGTGAGCATTTTCCCCTTCACACTTTACAGTCCCTTCCTTTTGCATTTATCCCTGAGATAGAAGTTGTCCAGTTCACCTCCATTAATTTACAGGTGAGGGGCCCAGAAAGACAAGTGACTGCCTCACAGTTACTCATTGAGGGCCAGGGCTAGGATTAGAACTCAGGTCTCCTGACTTCCCATCTGGTGCTCTTTGTAACCTGGCTGTCTAGTTTTCTGCCTCCTAATAAAGTCAATTCCCTTTCCCTAAATTCTAATCCCTTGAATTCTAACCCCTGTAACTACTACTTCCTCAAGTTCTAACTCCTTTCTCCTTAATTCTAGTGCCACTCCCTTGAATTCTAACTTTATGTTTCCCATTTTAACATCTTCCCATCTGAGTTTTCAATCTTTCCCTTGAAATTTTAACTTCTCTCCTTGAGTTTCTATTTGGTCCCCTTCCCCAAATGATTGCTCCCATTCCCCAGAAGAGACTCCCAAGGCTCCCTGCTCTTGCCCGGAGGTGTTTTACCTGTTCCTCTTGCAGCTGCCTCTCTCGAAGCATCGACTCAGGGCCACTGGGTGTGGCCCCATCCAGAGGATCAGACCCTTGGATTCTCTCCATTCCCTGCAGGAGGGGACCCAGCCTCTCAGTGAAAGGGGAGTGGAAGCCTGCCTGGGTCTTTCATTCCTTCCCTGGACTGCCCAGCTGGTAGTTTGCCCCTTTCCCTCTTTCAGCTCTTCTATCATTATCATTTGCCTTAAGGGTTGTACAAAGCACTTTACATAGATGATGAGGATTTGATCATTTTTATCACGATCCCTGGTTTTCTAGAATGGCTCAGGGTCATAGGAACTATTTCAATCTGGAAGGGAACTTAGAATTCATCTAATCATCATTCTTCCCCTCCACACTGCTCCCCAACCCCCTACATTTGAGAGATGAGGAAAATGAAGCCCAGAGAAATGAAGGAGTTGTCTAAAGTCACATATACTTTCCCTGATGCCCCAGGAGAGTAAGTCAGAAGTGTCAAAGGAAAACAGGTTGGGTTTAGGGACAGACGTTTGACATTTGGATAAAAGGATTAGGGCCCAAGAGCTTGAACTTGGCAACAGAATTGACCCCCTAGAACCAGGCAGAAAGTCTAAAGTCTAAAGAAAGTCTAAAGAGAATGTCCTATGGTGCATAGAATAGCACTATAGGATAGCATAGGACAGGATCAGCATAGGATAGAAGGCTAGCTTTGGAGTCTGAAAGACCTGGGTTCAAGTGCTACCATCCCTATGGGATGACCAGGGGACAAATCAATTAACCTCTCCGTTCTCCAGGCACAAATCTGTGCATTGGAGGTGGTGGGTTGAGAAGTTCCCTACACTGATGAAATCAATTCTCCTCCCCATTCCACCCAAGGGGAAAAAAAAAGAATGACAATTAGATGGTACTACGTATTTGGAAGGATTTTCTCTCTGTTACCTCCACTTGGCTGCCCTCTCATTCTGTTTCTCTTGAGAATTGAACAGTGAGGGATCAGCGGCTCAGAGGCTGTGCTCACCTTCAGATGAACGTAGTCATACTCCTCGCCTAGGGGGATGCCCTCATACTCATTGTGGTGGTCTGCTGTCCCTGCCCCTGCATCACCCACTCTTCCTTCCTCGTCTCCCTCAGTTTTGAGTCCCATATAGCTGGGCACACGGGGAGGTGGTGGGGGCAGTGGCCGATCCTGGATATTGCCTTTTCGGCCAGAGGCAGGAGAGGGGACAGGAGATGGGGCTGAGAGTTCCTGGACAGGCAGGGCAGGCAATGGACGCCGAGACAGACTCTCAGTAGAGGGGAGCCTGGGCCGAGGAGGTGGAGGTGGGCTCCGGGCCAGAAGCAGGGCTAGGGTCTCTAGATCATTCGGGGCAGGACTGGAGCTAGGGGGACTAGGAGGTCCAGGAGGCATTGGCTCCTCAGGACCCAGCAGCGGCACGTCATAGATGGCTTCATCGCTACTGGCGGAGGTGCTCTCTCCCAGAAGCTCTTCTGGTGCTTCATACAAATTGAGCAAGGCTGGTACTCGCTTCAGGTTGGAGGGGGCTGCGTAGAGGTGGGGCTCTGGTTCCCTGCCCCCTTCCCACTCCAGGTCGGGTTCTGGAGATGGCTTCATAGCTGGGGGAACATCATAGGGAGCCTCTTCTCCCCGAGGGAGTTGAGTGGATGCTCGGGTTAGGGGGCGGGGGGAAAGGAACTGGGGAGTCATAGGGATCACTGGGGGGAACTCGAAGAGCAGTGGGGGGTACATCATAAACCTGCTGGGGAAAAAAGGAGCTAGGATCAGTGAGACTCAGAAAGAGACTCCTTACCACTCTCTAGTTCTCTCTCCAGGGAATACCCTTGCAGCCTTCAAACTCAGGGAGATTCGCCTCTTCCTGTCCCACGTTCCTCCCTTCCCTTCCCAACGCTATTCCTGGACTTCTCCTTAGGCAGATTCCCCCAGTTTTCTAGCTTCTTCATCCTCACCTCTCGAGTATCTCCAGAGGCATCTATTTGTGTCCCACTACTTCTGGGGACTTTGTAGATGGCTTCTGGGGATGGTGGGCAGGGCCCAGGTGAAGGTCTTGGGTCAGAACAGGGCCGAGGTGGTGGGGGTGTCACATAGACCTGAATGAGCAGCAAGTATGGCATGGGTTAGCAGGGCTGGGAGAGTGGGCAATAAGAGAGTTATGCTATGGTCTCAGCAGGTACGGGGTAAAGAGCCGGAGCTCTGAAGTAAGAGAAGCTACATTCAAAACCCTTTGCTATTTTATATAACTCACTTAACCTTTCAAGGCCTCAGTTTCCTTATCTGTAAAGCAATGGGGTTGTTCCTTTACTGCTCTAAATCTAAGATCCAAAAGTCTAGCACTGAGTGGGAATTTAGAAAACATCTCTTCCAGGGGTTCTGAACATGGTATCTGTGAACTTATTTTAAAAATTATTATGTTTGATAGTAGTTTTTCTACATAACTGGTGTCCTATTTGTTTTATTTGATACATTTAAAAACAGTACTCTGAGAAGTGATCCATAGACTTCAGTGATTGCAGAAGAGGTCCAGGACATACAAAAAAGGAAAAGAACCCTTGGTTAGTCCAGCCTCCTCAGGCCTCTTCTCTTCTCTCCCTATGGATTTAATGATCCTCTCTATGCTGATGATTCTTAAATCTACAGTCCCTAGCCCTAACCTCTCTACTGACCCCGAGTCTTGCATCTCCAAATGCCTTTGGTTATCTCAAATTAGATTGTCCAGTGGTTATTTTAAACTCAACATGTTCAAAACCAAACTCATTGTTTCCTCCTCTAAACCTTCTCCCCACCTCCTCACTTCCTTTATTACTGTCATCAAGGGCACCACGGTTCTCCCAGTCCCTCAGGCTCACAGCCTAGCAGTCAGTCTCCACTTGTCTCTCTCACTTCCCATACCCAAGCTGTTTGCCAATGCCTGTTGATTTTACCTTTGCAGCTCTTGAATATGGCCCCTTCTCTCCTCTGACACCAATCCAGGCATATCATTCTCTCACCTTGATTGCAATAGCCCCATGGTGGATCTACCTGCCTCAAGTCTCTCCCACTCCAGTCCAGCTTCTATTTAGCTACTCAAGTGATTTTCCTAAATCGAAGGTCCACCCATGCCACCCTCTTACTCAGTAAACTCCAGTGACTCCCTATAGCTTCCAGAATCAATACGAAATCCTCTGGTGTGCAAAGCTTGGCTTGGACTAACCTAGGCCTCTCCTACCTTTCCAGTCTTCTTACACTTTCCTATTCTCTTTAATCCAGTAACTCTGGCCTCCTAGTCATTCTAGGAACAAGACACTGCATCTCTAGACTCCAGGCATTTTCTTGGGCTGTCCTCCATTCCTAGAATTTTTTCTCTCATCTCTATCTCCTAGCTTTCCTGACTTCCTTCAAATCCCAACTAATATATCATCTTTTTTTTTTCTTAAGGCAATTGGGGTTAAGTGACTTGCCCAGCATCACACAGCTAGTAGGTGTCAAGTGTTTGGTCTGAGGCCGGATTTGAACTCAGGTCCTCCTCGGGCTGGTGCTCTATCCACTGTACCACCTAGCTGCCCCAATATATCATCCTTTACAGGAAGCCTTTCCCAAGCCCTCTGTATCCAGTGCCTTCCCTCTCTTAATCGTTTCCTATTTATCCTAATCTAGCTGATTTATATAATTCGTTTTCTTGTCACCTCCCTTTCTAAAGTGTAAGCAGCTTGGGGGCAGGTACTTTTTTTATCCTCATCACTTAGCATACTGCCTGGCACATAATAAGCCTTAATAAATGTTTATTCACTGACTGACCTTCTCATTTTACAAAAGAGGAAACCAAGGCCTTTGAGATTAGTGAACTTCCCCAAGATCACAAGGGTAATAAGTGTCAGGGCCAGAATCAGAACTGTGCTCTGCTGATTCCCAGTACTCTTTCTACCATGCTATCTATGTCTTCAGTCAGATAGGGGAAGATAAAGAAATTAGTGCAAGTTGGAGGAAAGAGTGTAAATAAAGGGAGGGGAAATGAAGGCTGGTAAGGAGTGAGCTTTTTAGATTTTGCAGACAGAGCTTAGGGCACTGCCTGGATTAGTTGGGGTCTTCAAGTTAAGAATGGGGAGGGGGAAAGTCATCTTCTAGATCCTTAAGTGGAGCCTTTTGACATTCGGTCAAAATGTCAATTTAAGGCTGCTGCTTCCCCACCCCTGGGCTAACCCCTTATTTACCTCCTGTTCCGTCTGACCAGGCCCAGGGACTAGATCAGGCGTGCTCTGGTGAGTAGGAGGCACCTGGTAAAGGCTGGACTCAGGGCTGGGGCCGGTGGGCAGAAGCTTCACTCGGTTGGCAGGCACGATCCCCTGCTGGCCGTGAAGGGAGCAGAGACACCAACCTTGCAGCCCCCCAGCCCCTTCCCTTTGCAGCACTCGGAGTACATCCCCACGTTTGAAGGACAGTTCCTCTGGAGATTCCGCTGTGTTGTCATAGAGGGCCCTGGCCAGCTGGGCCTTGGTAGGAAAGGTAAGACAAGAGAGGAAGAGAGAAAGGATTTTATCACCAATATTTTCCTTCATTTAAGGCCATTGGGGTTATAACTGAAATAGTAATCTTTCTAGTTCAAACTCCCCATTTTACAGATGAGGAAACTAAGGCTTAGGAAGGTTAAGCACCTTGCCCAAGATCACCTAGGTACCTAGGTGTCTGAATTTGCATCCAGGTTCCCTGAATTTCAACTAGAGCTCTGCTTCCTATGATAGCCCTGTGAGGCAGGTAGCCTAGGTATCATCACTCCCAGTGTAACACTGATTCTGCGGCCCTTGCTGGCTGAAGGCCAGTATTTTACTTTTCACCTCTAATCTAGGGTTTTAGGGTACCCTTAAAGGGGCTGGGGCCTCTCTCATCCCTGCCATTGGCTCAAGCCTCCACCTATTAGGTTCCCCCAATTTTAGGGGTCCAAGTACCCTAGCTCCATTTAACTACTTAAAAAATTAACTCTTACGAAGGCATATTTACTTCAAAGGTATAGCAAGAAGAAAAATGTAAATATTCTCCACAGCACAGATTGGGGAGAATCAACCCAAGAGAAGATAGCCAGTTGGCTCATAATCAGATAGCTGATACACATAGAACCAAGTTTCTGGTTTAGGGCTTCTGACTTCAAGTATGATCTAGTGCATGACCCAGGAGGCAGCTGGGGACTCAGCGGTTAGAACACTGGGCCCCTGGAGTCAGGAAGAGTTCAAATCTGAGCCTCAAACACTAGTTGTTTGGCCCTATGAAGTCACTTAACTTCTGCCTGCCTCAGTTTATTCAATTGTAAAGTGGGAAGGATAACAGCTCCTCCCTCCCAGGGTTGTTGTGAAGCTCAGATGAGATCACCTCTTCCACCCTAGTCACACGTTCAAAATGTGAAAGAGGATTCTTTCCCTCACTTCACAAGTCAAGAAAGTAAAGTTTTAAAAGAAGGGCCATGGAGTAATCCAAGAGGGGAATCTAGGAGTCCTTTATCCCCTGAGCCTGAAAAGCCTTTCCTTGGAGGATGGGAGAGCACTGGCTTTTGGCCTGATGGCTCTGCATACATCATAGATGGAGGGATCCCTGGATGCTTTTGGTGGGGCCCTTTGCCCAGCGCAGAGATCCTGAGGTCTCCATCTTTTCCTAGTTTCCCAGGGCAGGGGAAATGGGACCAAGGCTGGGGTCAAGTCCATGCTCTCCCTGGGCACTGTGTCTACTTTTACTCAAAAATATCCTTGGGCTGGTGGGCAAGGTTCTGGTGGAAGGGCATTGGAAAAGCTGCAGAGTTGATTTTTGAGTGTAGGGGTCTCCTGAGAAAAAGGAGGGACTCGAATATTTGGATAGAAACTTGGGGCAGGGCAAAAGAGGAGAGTCTCTCACCCTCTGGAATCTGGCCAGTGGGGATGAAGCCCAGTGCCGGGAACAATATATAATTGCTGATTGATTGGTTGATGAAGGGGTGGGTTTCCCTTGCTCTCCCTGCCCCTTATTGGGTCCCCCCAGCTGACTTGGGGGGAATGGCTCCCTCCCGCCCGCCCCCCCCCGCCTATGAGCCTTGTTTAATGGGGGGTGGCAAACAGCCATGTGCTCCCTGAGAGTCCCCCTCCCGAAATCCCGTTCTGCCAGCTGTCTCCTCCCTTTGTCCCCAACCTCCAGTCCCTGGAAAGTGGCCTGAGGCTGTACTGACATCATCTCTCTCCCTCACTCCTGTTTTTCTTTCTCTCTCTGGCTCCTTATCTCCCCTCCTGTCCATTTGCCCCTTTCACTTTCTTCTCTCTCAGCGGGGATGCTTCAGGTCCCCCTTTACTCCCTCAGTTCTTTACTCTGTGTTCTAAGGTTGCCCCCTCCCCTCCTCCCTTTCTCCGGCTTCCCAATGCTCTCTTCCTTGGGAGCTGCCACCGGCCATCTGTCCTGTTCCTAAAAAAAGCCCGTAGGATTTTTGCCTCCATCCTTTGCCCTCTCCCCACACATCACAGGAGCCGTCCCAGAGTAAAGAAGGAGGGAAACACACGTGTGGGGAGGTGGGGGAGGGAGAGACCAAAAAGAAGAGAAAAGGAGGCGTGAAAGAGAGAGAAGGGAAAAAGTGAGGGAAAGACTTAAAGAAAAACAGCCAGGAAGGCACAGAAAAGACGAAAGGGACAGAAGTAAAAGAGGTGGGGGGTGGGAGGAAATGATGGGAATCACAAAGGGCAGAAAGGGGAAAAACAAAGCAAAACTAGAAGAGGCTTTGGAATTTTCTTTTTTCTCCCCAAACACTCCCACCCCGCTCTCTTCACCCCAGGCTGGGACTCACCGACACAGCCATGGTCCCCGTTGCCTGTTCTATCCTCCTCTTCCTCTGAACTGGCTTTGGGTTCTGGGCAGATTTCAGCAAGAGGCTCCCGACATCATGGTCTGGGGCCCAGTGCCAGCCCCTTCACATGGGGAGAGGCGGCCCCCAGTCTGGGGAGACTGAGCAGCGGCCGGAGCTGAGGTTTGAGAAAGCAAACCCCTGAACTGAGAGACTGCCCTTTGGGACAAGCGGTGGAGCTGAGACTTCTCCCAAGTCTTCATCCAAGGGACTCCAACAGCTTCTTTCTCCCTATGAAGCTGCCTTGGAGGTGGAGGGTCAAAGGAAGAGGTCCCCAAGGACCCAGCTCATGAAGCTGAGTGGCTTGACTCCTGGTGCACATACCACATGCCAGAGATCTGGGGACGACTCAGGGGCCACTAGGATGAGAAACTAGGGTTGGGCACAGCTTCTGTCTCTGAGGCCTCTCCAGGGGCAGGGCTCAGGGTGGGGAGGATTCTTGAGTTGTTCTCGATTGGGTAGGTAGCTAAGTATGAACCAGGCCTGCTCTTGGCACCTAAGGGTAGAGGAACTTCTAGAAAAGTTTCTCAGGGATGTGGTTTACAGCAGCCTTGGGAGAAGAATTGTGAGAATGGAAAAGCTGGGAAGGAGAGAAAGACAGAGAGAGAGAGAGAGAGAGAGAGAGAGAGAGAGAGAGAGAGAGAGAGAGAGAGAGAGATCCAGAGAGTGAGAGCCAAGACTGGTGCTTCAGTCTCTCAGGAGATTGCGAAATCCTTCTAGAACCACAGCCAGGAACCTCACAGGAATGGGGGTTGGGGTGGGGGGAACTGAAAGATTTGGATGATCATAAATTCCAAATTGCTGCTTGAGTTCCTGACTGCCCCCCTCAGAAGCACGTAGACAGCCAGTGACCCAGGAGCACGGACATCCTACTACAGTTCACAGCCACTCAGGCCAGCCCACCTAGTTTCACATCAAATGACATCAACTTAAGAGGTGAAGGCTCGCTTGGTACCTGCCCTTTCACATGCACATACACAGACTTACAGGGACCTGGGCACACTTACCAGCTCACTACCTGGGTCAAACAGACACGGTCACAGTGGTCTGACTTCACAAACTTCCTTCCAGCCTCATACACCATTCTCCTGACCAGCTGGCGACAAAACCCCTGCACCTTGTGCCCCCACCCCACCTCCACTCCACCCCCTTTCTCCTGCCACCCCCTGCGATCTCCCACCCACTCTTAGCGATGATTTCCCCTCCTCTTAGTGCCAGGGTTCCAGTGTCTGGTTTCCTTGGGGGCCAATGCTCAGGGAACAGTCCATCCCAAACTCCAAAGTGTCCCTGCTAAAGAAAAGAAAAGCAACCGGCGAAGAAAGGAACAAAAATATCAGAGAGGTGTCCTAACGCCTGGGTGGAGGTAGGTCCGTGTGGGATCCTCCAGGAAAGACACACACATACACACACACACACACACACACACACACACACACACACACACACACACAGAATCCAAGTCCCTGTGGCAAGGAGGCGGGGTAGGGGGTGGGGGGAGGAGACCTTAGTGGGGGACAGCCCAATGCTCCTCGAAGGCCATGCTCCACCCCTCTCTTGTCTTCTCTCCTTCCCTCCTTTCTTTCCGCCTCACTTGCTTTCTTTCATCAGACTCACTGTCTTTCCTTCTTACTTGAGTTCTCCTTCTCTCTGGTTCGTTAGCTCTCCCTTTCTCTGTTCTGGGACTCAGTCCTGAGGATTAAGAGAAGAGGGAGGAAAAAAGGGAGGGAGGCAGAGAGGGAGGGAGGAAGGGGAAGGAGGAGGAGGAGGAGGAGAAAGGAGGACAGATTTCTCTAAAGAAGGGTGTTGAGTTACAGCTCCAGTGGCCCTCCGGCCAAACCGCTCTTGCCGCTGCTGTTTTCCCTTCCTTTGCTGGCTCCTTTTCTCCCCACTGGATTATGTAGAATCAGAAATAGTGTTTTATTGAGATTTTTCTGCCCTGTCCCACCTCTCTCCTCCTTTGGCTCGTTCTTTCCTCATCTCTTTCCTTCCCACTCCTCTTTTCTGTTTTTCTTTGGTTCATCTTTTCTCTTTCCTTTTCCCTTTATCAGTCCGACATCTGCTTCCCTCTCCTCTTCCCAGTTGACCCAAACAGCTAGTTTCCTTCTGTGCCAATGGCATCCCTCAAGATAGTGCTACCCTCCCTCAGATGCTGTCGTGGTAAGGATTATAAAGTGGACTTTGGTTTATGTGACCAAATCCATATTCTAAAACAGGAAGTCTTAACCTTTTCTGTGTCATGGATCCATTTGATAGTCTGGTGAAGCCTCTGGACCCCTCCTCAGAATAATGTTATTAAATGCACAAAATAAAACACATAGGAGAACAAAGGAAACCAATTCTATCGAAATGCAGTTACCAACATATTTAAACCAAATTTATGGCCTCTGGGTTAAGAAACCCTGTCTAAAGGGAAGGAAGTTGCTGTGTATCAGGTATGGGTGACAGGCCTTTGGAATCAATAAATTCTCTTAAGATTAAATTTACACAGATTCTCACCCAAAGTGTATTTCCAGCTGTAGTGAGTTTGCACAGATCCAGTTGTATGGTTCCAGGACTGGAAGTAGGCCAGTTCTCAAACTCTTAAATTCCTCAGCCAGTCTGGGCTTGTCCCATATTCTAGCCCTGCCTTGTTCAACACCCTCTGGAGAGCAGAAATGGGGATTGCCAGGTACAGAGGGCTCATATGGTCTTTAGAAGAGCAGGGGGCTATTTTTGAGCCTGGGTGAGGTTCTGAGAATGGAAAGTCATCCTGTCTCCATGAAAATTTTATATGGGAAAAAGGGGGTGCTGTAGGCTCATCCACAGAGCTCCTCTTTTCTGCCATTATTATCATCATCAATTCATTCTCCACCTTCTCTCTTCCCCTATAAAGTTCTCTTTTTTCCTGCTTTAAAAGAAAAGAAGAAAAAAGACTGTCATCTTTCCCATATGAAGAAGAACCTCCTAGCTCTTCTTGAGTAAAGTATATGCATGGATTTTCTTTTCTCAGGAGTAGTGAGGGGTTTGCACTGATGTAGCACTTAGCTAGGTTAGAGTGTAAGTCTGTGGCTGAGAAATAGGATGAAGCTAACTGGCCCATATGGGATTCAACTAATGACTACCTGAGAGGTGGAGTCTAGGCTGTGTCTAGTCCTTCCTCCTTCAGGAGATGGAAGGTGCTGTGTCACTTTGTAGGTCATGGGCCTTGGCAATTAGTGAACTCAGTAGCACCGTGATGTAATCGAGCTATGTACATTCTGGGGCAGAGAAACTAAAGGCTCTCTTTTTTTTTTTTTGGCAATTTGATTTAGGGGATGTCCTTAAATGCTAGATTGAGAATAAGGCGGACCTGGAGTTAGGTTTGGATGGGATTCCCCCAGACTATCGCGAGGATAGACATGAACAGATAGTGTTATCTACTGACTTTTTCCCCCTTACAGTAGCAAATCACTCTTCTTTAGAACAGACTTTCAGGTCACCCTGGTCTGGATTTACCCCCCTGTGGCCTTTGGAATCATGAGTGCCCTAGACATTGCTTGGGTCCTGGGGCCTCCTGGCTAGTCCATAAGCAAGATGCTATCTCTTGGCTCGAAGCTTTTTCTTTGACTGTGCCCTATGCCTGGAATGCTCTCCCCCCTCCCCTCTGATTACTGACCTCCTTGGCTGTCTTTCAATCCCAATAAAAGTCCACCTATACCCCTACTCAACTGCAGGGAGTACAATCATGATAGAGAGTGGCCTCGTTGTTCAAATGCCAAACAGAAGCTTGCCTAAAAGACTATATTATGGAAAACTCACATGGTGATTAGAAGAAGCAATACGAGGATACTCTCAAGATCTCTCTGAAGAACTCTGGAATTGATTGCATGACTTGGGAGACATTGGCACAGGACAGCCCAGCATGCTGTGCCTTCATCAGAGAAGGTGCTGTCTGTGCTCTGTGGCTAAGTAGAATTGAAGCAGCTCAAAAGAAACACAAGATGTGCAAATTTAGAGAATCCACCCCAAATGTTCACATGGACTATTTGTGCCCAACTTGTGGTAGAGCATTCTGAGCTCATATTGATCTAATCAGCCACAGTCCGACTCATTGTAACTTGACTAACATAGTGATGTCATTTTTGTCCTCTTTGAGAATCAAGGATGACCAACCAAAATCCCACCTTCTACTGGAAGCCTTCTCCAACCCCTTTTAATTTCAGTGTTTTTCCTCTTTTAATCACTTCCTATTTATGTTGCATATAGCTTGCTTTGTATATATTTGATGGTATTTTGTTTCCTCCATTAGACTGTAAGCTCCTTGAGGTCAGGGAATGTCTTTTGCCTCTTTTTATGTCTGCATTGCTTAGCACAGTGCCAAACACATAGCAGGCACTTGACAAATGTTTATTGAATGAATGAATGTGAAACTTTGTGAGTTTCAAGGGGAGCCTTCCTGCCCTGGGAAGGAATAGAGGGTCTCCTCTCTGGTAGGAATGTGCCTTGGCCTGTTTCCTGTTCAATGGACCATGAGCATAAACCAGTCGGAGTAAAGGGGGAGATGAAAATTTGGGTAGGACGCCCCTGCCAAGGCAAGAATGGAAAAGATATTATGTTTCTAAGAATTGCTCCTTCAAGAGGCAAAACTTAATCCAAAGGGTCTGTAGCTCAGGTTTTAATGGGACTTCAATCTTCCTACTGCCTTTGCAAGATTCATGGGATCATTAAAAGGTGTTAGAAAGACGATGAATGTCTTTGGTAGAAAGACTATTGTGTTCCCAGGCACCGAAAGCTAACTGTTAGCTCCACCTCATTGTGTACATGTTTGGTGGGCATGGGGTGTGTGGTAAAGTGGTGAGGGTGGTACCAGAGAGAAATTGGAGGGCTCATATTTATCTTACCCTTTTGCTCCACCTTCACCCCATTAGCACTCCCCATCACTTCACTACCTACCCCCTCTCTACCTTCTGTCTCTCTTATAATGAAGAGGCCAGACTTGAAGTCTGAGAGACTTCATAGATATGTGATCCTTCACAAGTCACTCAACCTCTTTGAGACTCAGTTTCCTCATTTTTAAAATGGGGATAATAATTGTACCTACCTCACAAGGCTGTTGTGAGGATCACATGTAAAGAATGCATGTAAAGTGCTTTGCAAACTTTCAAGTACTATGTAAATGTCAATTTTTTTATTACTATTTTTTATTTTTATGGTAGATGAAAATACATGTTGATATATGAGATAGGGAAAGTCTTCTCCCCTGCCTTAGACTTTGAAATGAGCCTAAGGGGGAAGCCAGGTGGTGCAGTGGATAGAGCACCGGCCCTGGAGTCAGGAGGACCTGAGTTCAAATCCGGCCTCAGACACATAATAATACTTCCTAGCTGTGTGACTCTGGGCAAGTCACTTAACCCCAATTGCCTCACTAAAAAAATAAAAAAGAAAGAAATGAGCCTAAGGAGATTGGAGTTGAATTTGTGAATTTATTTAGGGCAATTTCTGGTCTGAGAAGCAAGAATGGTGTTAGAAGTGGGGTTATTTGTTCTTGCAGCTGCTTGGCTTGGTAGTTGAGGCTGGATGGATGGGAGACTCAATGACCTGTATGGACAAATTGCCTGTAGAGTGGATGAGGGCATAGTAGACATGTGTCCTCATGCCACTGGCTTGCTGAGTAACCCAGGCTAGCCTTCAGAGGAGTTCTTGCCTGAAAAAAGGTGGATAGCTTAGCTAAAAAAGTATGTTCTTTTTTTTTTTTTGGCTAGGCAATGGGGTTAAGTGACTTGCCCAGGGTCACACAGCTAGTAAGTGTTTTGTGTCTGAGGTTGGATTTCAACTCAGGTCCTTCTGAATCCAGGGCCAGTGCTCTATCCACTGTGCCACCTAGCTGCTCCTTAAAAAGTATGTTCTTTTTTTTTTTGGCTAGGCAATGGGGTTAAGTGACTTGCCCAGGGTCACACAGCTAGTATGTGTTATGTGTCTGAGGCCGGATTTCAACTCACGTCCTCCTGAATCTGGTGCTCTATCCACTGTGCCATCTAGCTGCCCCTAAAAAAGTATGTTCTTAACCTGGACAATGTGAACTTTAAATTTTTTTTAGTAACTATATTTAAGTATAGTTCGTTTTCCTTTGTAAGCCTATGTATTTTATTTATGCATTTAAAGACATTATTCTGAGAAAGGGTCCATACATTTTGCCAGAGTTCCAAAAGGGGTCTGATAAAAAAAAAAGTTAAGAATCCCTGTTCTGACAATCACACACACACAGACACACACACACACACACACACACACACACACACACACAACACACACACACACAGACATCCTAAAGTCTACTGCCTGATTTTCATGGTCCTCTTTAATTGACCTCATTTCCCATTTTTTCCCCCAACCTACACCCTCCATTATAGTCAAGCTATTCTCATTCATTCTTTCATAAACATTGGGTGCCTTCTCTATTCAAAGCTCAAGAGACTGAAAGCAGTGGAAGACACAGTCTTCTACCCTCAAGGGATCTACAATCTAGAAGGGGAGATGAGATCATATTTAGAAATAATTATAACACCAAGTGGGTAAGTGCATGGAGGAGGTGGAGTTTGAACTTGGCCTAGGCAGGATTTCAACAGATAGAGGGGATTGACATTCGAGGCCTAGGGAATGGAATGAGCAAGAGTGCAGAGGCAGACAACCTCAGGGAACCCATTTGAGCAGCAGTAGGTGTTCTGTTTTGATTGGAGCAAAGGGTATAGGTGGGGGAGCAGTGTGAGATACAGATGGAAAGATGGGTTGGATAGCTCTGAAAGCATGGTGCGACATAAAGAAGACCTGGATTGGAGCCCTGGGTCTGCTCCTTACTAGTTGTGGGACTTTGGACAAGACATTCCTGTTTCTGAACCTCAGTTTCTCTATCTGTAAAATGGAGAAAATACCTACATGAACCTTCTTATGGGTTTGCTTCAAGTGAAGTACTTTGTAAACTGTGAAGTATTTATCTCATCTAGAGATATTCTCATCTAGAGAAGTATTTAAACATAAGCTGTTAATACTGTGACCGTGGTCAAGTCTTGAAACCTCAGTTTCCTCATCCTCAAAATGAAGGTCTTAGACTAGGTCAGCAGTTCTCAGAGTGTGGTTTGAAGACTCCTGGGGGTCCTGGAGAGCCTTTCCAGGGGTCTGTGAGGTCAAATCATTTTTTGTAATAATATTAAGACATTATTTGTCTCTTAAGCTATTCCTGCCTTTTCCAACTACCTATCTATATGGCACCAGATTTTTTTTTTCATATGCTTCAACCAAAACATATTACGATAGATTGAATATAGAAACAGATACGAGAATCTAGCTGTCTTCTATTAAGCCAGATATTAATGAGATTTGCAAAAATATATACAATAATGCTACCCTTCTCACTTTTTTTTGCTTTAGAAAATAGTTATTTCCATAAAAATGAGTTATGTTAACATTCAATGGGTTTATATTATTTTTAGTGAATTAAATGTTTTAAAAGTTAATTAGTTTTAATTTTCAATATGGTAAATAATAGTAGATATAACTCACATAAACAAAAGCTCTTTGGCATCCTCAAAAAATTTTATGAGTGTAAAGCAGTCCCAGGACCAAAAAGCTTGAGAAACCTGGACTAGATCATCTCAAAGGTGCCTTTCAATCCTGACATTCTGTGATTAGGCAGCTAGGTGGTGAAGTGGATAAAGTGCGGGATCTGTAGTTGGGAAGACCTGAGTTCAAATGTGCTTGCTGTGTGACCCTGGCTAAGTCACTTAATCTCTGTCTCTTTCAGTTTTCTCAACAATAAAATGGAGACAATAATGGCAGTTGCCTCATAGGGTTGCTGTGGTGATCAAATAAGATTTGTAAAGTGCTTAGTATGGTGCCTTGCATATGGTAGGTGCTCAATAAATGCTTAAATGGTCCCCTCTCATCTAGAGAAATCCTAATTGGGCCCTGGTGGTCAACAACATACCCACAAGCTTCAGGAACCAGATTAAAATGTAATTGGAAAATATTTAACACAATAGATAAAAATACAATAGAACTTAGATAATGTTAGTATGTGGTTTTCTAAGTCAATATTTTGCCTACAGGAATCATTATATACGATTTAATGGCCCCCTTTGTATTTGAGTTTGCTGTCACAAGCATAATGTAAAGTCAAGTCTCTTCCCCAAGTGCTGGTTTGGGTTTAAGGCAGGTTTTCTGTTGCCTGGAAAGGGAACAAGCATTAGGGTGTTCAACCGTCCACCCCCTCAGGTGCTGCTCTGTATGCACCTCACCCACACACACACACTAGGGTTCCCTGGAAGCTGGAATGACTCAGGGATTCCAAGGCAGGCCAACCTCTCAGGAAAACCCTTTGGAAAATGTTTCTCATGGCAGGCAGGGTGCCAACCAGGGAGTCCCTGCCGAGATAAAGGAAGTGACCGAAGATGGAGCAAGAGTCTCAAGTTCCCCCACAGAGAGATGGAGACCCCTGCTTTAGTGTGTGTGTGTGTGTGTGTGTGTGTGTGTGTATGTGTGTACATGTGTGGGGCTCCTTCAAAGTGGTCATAGATGATTGGACACTTCCATGAGTCTTCAGAATGATTTTTTTTCAGGAAGAAAAAACAGAGCCCCTCCAAAACATATTGGCATAGTGGAAAATATTGCTAGATCTGAAGTCAGAGAATCTGGATTCAAATCCAAGCCCTGCAAAATTTCCAACATGTATGATTTTGGAAGCTAGGTGGCAAAGTGATAGAGTGCTGGGCCTGGAGTCAGGAAGACATCTCCCTGAGTTCAAATCTAATCTCAGACACTTACTAGCTGTGTGACTCTGGGAAAGTCACTTAACCTTGTTTGCCTCAGTTTCCTAATTTGTAAAATGAGTTGGAGAAGGAAATGGTAAATCACTTCCAAGAAAACCCCAAATGGTGTCATAAAGGGATGGACATGACAGAAAAGAAGAACAACAACATAAGCTTGGGAAAAATCACTTAACCTCTCTGGGCTTCAGTTGGGGCTGAATCAGATGCCCTCTGAGGCTCCTTCCAACCCTAACATCCTTTGACTCTGTGAGTGCTTTATAGCCCCCTACTGCTACAGCCTCGGACCCCAAGCTCAAAGCTAAAATTGAAGGGTCAGGACAATACAATATATCAAGGACCACTGTCTGCTATTAGACCTTTCAGGCTTCAAGATTTCCTCTCAGTCTCCTTGGGAGGGGCTGCCCTGGATAGGGCAAACCTCTACTACTTTTAACGGCTTGATTCTGGATACTGGCCTTAAGGTCCCGATTGGACGGCATGGGGTGGGGCATGGACACTAATAAGATTCTGTTTTCTCTGAATCTCTGTGCACCTCCCTGCAGAATTTTTGGTGGAGCCCCCAGAAGCCTCTGAAATCCCCATGGAAATGGAGGCTCTGGTGAGAGTTAGAAGGTCCCCAGGGAGGGGAGTGCCAGTGAGCCCATTCCCAGCAGAGCTGGCCACTTGGCTGTATGTAGGAATGCCTTGTAGCACCTGGGCAGGGGAAATCCCAGTAATAAAAACAACTAATGTTTCTATATCGTTTTAGGCCTTATAAAGGATTTCGAATCCCTTCACTTTGGTCTGGCCCTATGACTTAATCAGTCTAGGGAGCTCCCCCGATGGCAACTCCCTTAATAAAAGGGAAACCTATAGTCTTAAAGCCTGAAAATGGTGATCTTTATTAGAACGGCCCTGGGACACCAAGTGGTTGGATGGTCACAAGGCTGCTATGTCAGACGCCAGACTTGGACAGCGGTCTTTCTGACTCCAAAAAGGAGGGTTGATGCTGCTGCTGATAATGATAACAATAACGACAACAACAATGACAAACATTCATATATTGCTTTGAAGTTGGTAAAGCGCCTTATATGTATTAACTCATCTGACCCTCACAATGGCACAGCGAGAGGCTGATGAAGAGGCTCTCTATCCGTTCCATTGGTGGGGTGGAAAGAGAGCTGGCATCAAAACTGGGGAGACAGACTAGAATTCAAGGCCTTGCCCACCACACCCGGGCAGTGTGATCTGGGCAGTTACTAAAACCGCCACTACTGGAGGCAGCTCTCTAGGACTCTTAAATGGCAGAGAAGGTGCTGACCAGCGTTAGCAAAGAGAGTTTCCTTCAATTGGGATTCATTAGACAAGAACTGTCAAACATGCAGGTCACTTGCAGCCCACAACACTCCCCAGTGCAACTGGAGAGTATTTAACGAGTAAATGTTATTGGGAAATAAAATATTAAATTGCAATTGGGAAATATTTAACAAAATAAAGATGGAATGAAACAGAGAATAATACTAAAAATACTAAATATTTAAAATACTAAAAATTAAAACTAATTCAATATGTGGCCCACAGGGATCCTTATGTATGGATTAGTGGCTTCCATTTTTATCTGAGTGTGACACTGCTGTCCTATACCAATGAAATCACAAATCTGCTCCTTATCCCTAATAACCCTATGCAGTAGATGCTATTACTAGCTCCTTTGAACAGATGAGGAAAATGAGAAGTCAAATGATTTGCTGGAGATAAAAAGGGAACAGGATTTGAGGGGCAGCTAAGTGGCTCAGTGGATAGAGCACCTCAGGAGGACCTGGGTTCAAATCTGGCCTCAGACCAAACACTTGACACTTACTAGCGTGTGACTCTGGGCAAGTCACTTAACCCCAATTGCCTAATTTAAAAAAAAAAAGGATTTGAACCCGAGTCTTCCTGATTCCAAGTCAGGGATGATATCCACTGCACCATCTTGCTGCATCATGTAGCTACCTCTAGGATCTTGGAGACCTGCTAAGATAGGGGAAGAGGTAGATAGATATTTTACTGAGGACAGTAGTAATAGTTTATATTCAATTCTCCTAACATTCCAGTGAGGTAGGGGTTTTTATCTCCAGCAAATCATTTGACTTCTCATTTTCCTCATCTGTTCAAAGGAGCTAGTAATAGCATCTACTGCATAGGGTTATTTTACAGATAGGAAAACTGAGACTTGGAGCAGTCAAGTGACATATCTATAGCCATGCAGCTGGCAGGTATCTGAAAATGGTATTTGCACAAATCATGTGACTTCCAAGACCAGCACTCTATAGTAGGCCACAAATGCCTGCCAGATGAGAGAGAGGGATGATAATTTTATCAGTCACACCAAATTCTTCCCAAGGCCTATTCTCTCAGCCACCCCTCCCCATTTTAATTCCCACCCCACAATCCCTGTGTCCTCTACATCTCACTCCTCCATAGCATCCTGTAGCTAAAGCTGCTTTTCCTTTGCCTCAGAACCACTATTTTTCTAGCCTGTCCTTCTGCTTGATGGCCTCTCGGCCCACAAGTTTGGGGGAAACACTGTTGCCCCAGACCAACCCACTCAGCAATTTGGGGTAACTTTCTGAGCCAACTGTTTATTTTCCAAGTTCCATGGTAACACACTTAAAGTGAGATGGAACACATGCAAATCTATCCCCTAGGAGTCTAAGCCACAAAGTTATAAACACTTTCCTGGTCACTATGGGTATGCAGTTTTTTCTTTTCAGGAAGAGAGGGCGCAAGAGCAGGAAAGGATTCAGAGCTCCCCCATTCTCTGTCCTACTCCTACTAGGCCCCTTCTTAGGTGGCCCTGGATGACTGGCCTCCCAGCATCAGATTAAGTCCTGAGTTTCTACTTATTATAAATCCCTTTGCTGCAAAGTAGTACGTGGGGATGGAGTGGAGATGTTGGGGGGGAGGGGAGAAGAATGGGAAAGGAGCAGGGGCATAGACCAGACCCACCCCAGCCAGGGACTCCCAGGTTTTCCATTTGTGAGTCATGGAACCCTTATCATGAGGGTTTTCTCCTTTCTATCCCTACACCCACAGGCTCTCCACCCCCAAAAGTGGGAGTGGAGGTGGTGGGGGAGACAGGCAAATCCCAGGTGGCTAGTACCCATCTTTCTCTTCCTCAGGGTAGGGCTAGGCAGCCAGGAATCCAGGGTTCCATGACCTGCCCTATCTCTTACCCCATTTCAATTTCCTTATTTGTGCAATGGGAAAAGTTACCCACAGCTTGGTCATTGTGCATTAGACTAGGGGCTGTAGTGATAGAAATGGTGAGTAGGGGATGGGGGTTAGAGAGGGCAAAGGATGATGGAGGTGAGAGCTTTGGACACTGGATGGGGAGAGGAAGTAGCACAATTTCCCAAAGACTGGAGATAAGGAATCCCACAATCCCAGGTTTTGAGGGTTGGAAGAAATTTCTGCAGCATCTAGCCCCCAAATACAAAGGCATCCCTACTGTACCATACCTGACAATGTGGACCAAGGACTACAAAGTTATCTGACCTATGGGATGCTTCTCTTAAATGAGACCCTTCCCAGAACAGACTCCAAGATTTCAGAGGAAGATCTTTACTGGGGTCGGAGGTCATGGTGCAGGCTCTCCTGAGGCCATGGATCAGTCTGTGAAGGTTAGGGAAGCTGGGATGGGAGACAAAAGCTTTGTATGGATTCTGTCCTCCTCCACCAGCTGCTAGTGCCCTCCCTCCCCAAACTATCCTGTATACACTTTGTCTATATTATGGATATACTAATATTTGTTCATGTCACCTCCCTCCATGAGAATGCTTGTTTCTTAAGGAGTGAGTTCCCCTAAGGACAGACCAAGGTTCTGGGCTAGAGTCTTCAGAAGGGAACTTGCCAGGTAGAGGAAATCCCCATGATGGTAGCACTTTAAAGGTCATTTCCAGGGCTGTTCCGTCCTCCCTCTTGGAAAAGTTAAAAAGCAAAGCTTACTGCTTAGGCCCCAAAGCAGCCAATGAGCAGAAAATTAAGTTTATTACTCCTCCCTTTGCTACCTTGGCCAAAGCTTGCGCATTATGATCTCATTTGATTCATGCAATGCCCCTGAAGGTAGGAAAGATATGGAATCATGGAAGGGCCCTCTGATGGTATCTGGTCCAACCTGTACTTGAACAGGAATTCCCTTTGGGCCAGGAGTTTTTAACCTTTTTGGTGTCATAGACGGTTTTGTCTGTCTGTCAAAGCCCATAGTTCTCCTTCTCAAAATAATGTTCATAAATGCATAAAATAAAATACGTAGGACTATGAGGGAAACCAGTTATACTGAAATACAGTTACCAAAATTTTAATAAAAACACACAACCCAAGTTCAGGGCTCTCAGGTTAAGAATCCTTGCTGGCAAATTCTAACAGCCCTAACAAGTGGTCATCTGGCTTCTATTGTTGGGGAACACATTCTTTGCCAGCCCCCCTGCAAGGCAGCCCATTACACTTTTGAATTGTTCTAATTGTTAAGAGGTTTTTCATTATATTGAACCCAAATTTACATCTTTTTAACTTCTGCTCACTATTCTTAATTCTGTTCTCTGAGGCCAAATAGAATGGTTACTTCCAGAAGACATGGGGTCTAGTGCAATCCAAGTTCTGCTACATAAATATAATCTTTCTTTTAGTTGGTAGTGTTGTAAATATTTGAAGATGGAAATTAAATGCAACCTAAGTCTTCTCCAGGCTATACATTTTACATTTCCTCCAACCAATCCTCATATGACATGGCTTCAGATCTTCTTACTTTCCTGGAGACTCTTCCTTTTCTGTTTTACAGATAAGGAAATTGAGGGATAAATAAATTCATTCATGTCTTCATTCAAAAGCATTGCTTTTATTATACATAATATATTTGCAATTTCATGAGTAATCATTTAAAAAAATTATACTGTTATGGAAATGCTTGTTTTATCCCATAAATTAAAAATTAAAAAAGAAAAAGAAAAAAGAGCATTGCTAGTTCTAGACTCTAGAAGAGATAAAAAAGATAGTTCAAGGCTCTCAGCAACTTTACTTAATGAGAATTACCACTCCCTGGAAATATCTTATTTGCATGTCAAATTAAGCTGAGGTTAATAAAACTAGGAGTCCCCGGGCATCAGCTTCATTCTGACCCGTCGTTCCCAACATCTCTCTGTCCAGTACCTTGCTTCATTCAGCATGCACTGGGTGAGTGAATGGGATAGTAGGAGGTGGATAAGGCCTCCCACTTGAGGTCAGGAGGCTTAGGAAAATGGAGGCTGGGATTGAGCTGAGAAGGGCAAGGATGGGTTGAGCTGAGAAGCTCTCACTTGTGGAGCGAGCATGGTTTAGTGGAAAGAATTCTGGACCTGGAGTCAGGAGATTTGGGTCTGACTTAATGTGACTATGTATTACTGGCTGTGTGACCTGAGTCTTAAGGATCTTATTTATAAAATAAGGGGATTGGATCAGATGATCTCTAAAGTCTCTTCCAGCTTTAATATTTTATGATTCTAGGCTGGGGAAGTGGTCTTGCGGGCTCTGGAGGACTTAGACGTCAGACTCTAAAAAGGAGGGCCTCTTGGGCGATTGAGAACTGGAGTGAAGGGATGGTCCTGGGGGTAGCAAGCCAAGGTGACACTTAATCTTCCTCTTTTTTAATTTCTGCAGTTGATAGGAATTCTGGTGGTGGCCACAGGGACCCAGGCTCTGAACTTGAGGTTTCGGAGGGATTGTAATCATCACCATAGGTGCTGTTGCAGCAAGGAACAGGACCTTTCTGAGATGTTGCTGAGCTGGAACAGTATGCCCTCTGTACCCCTTGAAGTCTCCAGAAACTTGCAGCTCCCAAATGTCAAGGTCCCTGAACCTGCCCAGTGTCGGGCCAGCCGGGAAGGGCCCCTCAATTCAAGGGCCATCTCTCCCTGGAGCTATGAGTAAGTCTACTGACCTTCCTTGTCCTTCTCCCTGCCCTCCTCTCCCCCATGGATCCCTGCTGAAGCCCGCTCTCCATTTCTCATACACACGTACATGTATATATGTGTGCATGTTTATATGTGGTTGGTGGGGGATGGGGGCACTATCTGAGGCAGCCTCTGCTTGCCTTTTTTTGTTAATCATAAAAAACTGTATATATCTGAGGTATATTAAAGTCTTACCCCAATGCCTCATAATGTCATGGTGATTACCTTGAGTTCCAGAGAGCTATGCTATTGAATTGTCAACTCTGGTAGATCTAACCAAGCATAAATCTTTCAAATGCTTGATCTATTACCTGAAGACCAATCTAGCTGTTTGAAAAGTCTTATTACAAGGAGGGTCACAGGGTGAGAAATTTTTCAGACCCAGAGACTCTCGATGACCATCTGCTAAGTCGTGAGGGAGTTGTGATCTGCATTGGTGGTGGGGACATATTGGATGAAATCATTACTCTTTCAAATATTAATATTATTTCTCTCTATATCTTTATTAATATATAACATAATATGTTATTGATATTTTTATCTTATTCTTTCACTAGACCAGGGGTTCTTAACCAAGGGCCATGAATTTGATTTTTAAAAATATTTTGGTAACTTTTTCAATATGATTGATTTCCTTTATAATCCTATGCATTTTTTTTGTATTTGCATTTTATTTTATAAATTTGAAAACATTATTCCAAGAAGGGGTCCCCTTGGCTTCACCAGATTGCTAAAAGGATCCATGACACAAAAAAAGGTTAAGAACCCCAGCGTTAGACTGTTAAATGTCATAGTGACAGGTAAACTTTGTATTCCCCACCCTTATATGATAAAAGTTTGCTGGATGGGTGGATGAATGAACGAATGAATCTCTTTCCATACTCCATGACAATTCCTCTAACTCCAGAAGGAGCTCTGACTTAGCCCGAAAGGTTTGGGGAAAGTGAAAAGGGAACTTCACGAAACTAAGAGCTGGGCCAAAATCACCCAGGGTCCCCCAGTTATTCACATTTTAATAATAATTCTAATTTCCATAGGGCTTTGTGATTTATAGGGTACTTGCCTTACAACAACTTTATGAAGTAGGTAATGTAGGCATTATTATTCCCATTTTACAGATGAGGAAAATTAAGGTCCAGTGACATGCCCTAGTCACATAGCTGTGTCAGAGCTGGGACTCAACACCAGGACTTCTGACTCTAAGTCCAGAGTTCTTTACATTATAACATGTTGCCTGTCCATTATTTGTTACATAACTATTTTGAGAGCTCAGTTAATCCAAATTCCAAGCCCTGGCACAAGGTAAGCCATGAACTGGAGGCCCCTTAGTAGGCTAAATTTGGGGTTTGGGTCCCTCTTTAGGGGCTGCTTGGTGGGGTCCAACTGGAAACCAGAGCCCCTTGTAGTGGGGTTGCAATCCAGCGTGACAACTGGGGTCTCTCCCTTCACTGCCTCACAACTGCTTTTTCATGATATCCAGAATACCTTGGATTCTCTTCCAATCATGAATGCCTTGGGGTCCAATTAGACTACTATGGAGTCATCTCCTCATGTCCCTCCTTCCATCTCTGTCTTCTAAATGTGAATTCCTGGGCTTCTTTCCACCTGGGTTCATGGCACCTACTATCCCAACAGGTTGGACCGGGATGAAAACCGGCTTCCCCAGGACTTGTATCATGCCCGCTGCCTGTGCCCTCATTGCATCAGCCTGAATACAGGCCACATGGACCACCGTGGGAACTCTGAGCTACTCTGGTACAACCAGACTGTCTTTTACCGGCGCCAGTGTCACGGTCACGGCGAGCAGCCGGGAAGTGACTGTTATTACCTAGAGCGGAAGGTCTATCCTGTCTCCTTTGCCTGCGTCTGTGTCCTGCCTCAGATCATGGCCTAGCCTGGGAGTCGGTGCCAGGAGACCCAGCTCCGTGCCTGGGGGAATGCTGGATGAGGACCAGTTTCTGGGTGTCAGGCTTTTCACCTGGAAACTTGGAGCGCAGGCAAAGATAATTGTGGTCATTAGCACAACCGCCTTGTTCCAGGGCCATGAGCCTGGTACTTCTGTACCTTCCCTTTGCCAGACCCACCTACTCACTAAACTCTCGAGGGAAGGTAACAGAAGAAAAGCCAGCTGGGTACTGAGCATTTGCACTGGAAGGAGGGTTGGGGCACTCTGGGGTAATTGGCATTTTTCTGGGTGGGTAGCTGTGTAGATGCTCCCTGCAGCCCCAGTGCTGGAAACCCTGCCCAGTGGTCTGACAGACATCCGCTGGCTCTGGGGGAAGTAGCCTGAAGGAACAAGCCCTGACCATGTCAATCTTTGTCCCCCACCCCTAAGAACTCCCTTCCCTTTTCACCTCTCCCTGCTGTCCTAAAGTGTCCTGGTTCCTTCTCCAAATCAACCAGCATCTATTAAGTGCTTAGCTACTGTACTAAACACTTTGAGAGCTGACTTGCTATGCTATAGAATAACGAATCTGGTCATTTCTGGAGACAAAATTCTGGTAGAACATTTAGGGGCTTGTTGAAATAAATAGTTTTGGAAATGAAAGTAGCCTGTGTTGTTTTTGGCATTCCCTGGCAGCCCTATCCCCACCCTCTATTCCCCAGCCAAGCTTAGTTCTCTCCCCCCATCCCACAGTACAACTCCCCTTTTCTGTCCCCAATTTTCTCCCCAGTCTTATTTCCTCTTTCCCCCTGCACTCAATCTCCCTTCCTGGGGCCTACAGAATTCCCCCCTCTTAAGATTCCTCCTTTTCCTCTTGTCTCTTCCCCCCCCCACCCCTGTGCCTCTCGCTCCCCACGTACCCAGGGCGGGGGTCAGGCTGGCCCTGGCCAGGCAGGGAGGAGAGACAGAGGCGCATTGAGGCCGCCAGCCCTGAACACAGCTGGCTCCTTGTTCCCCAGTACTGCTCCCCTACCCCCCAACAATCTCCCTTTGTCCTCGGGCAGGCCACAACCCGGGCCTGGGGGATAGCCTGGGCTGGGGTCCAGCTTCCTTCCCCCATGGTAGGGAAGGAGAGAGATGGAGCAGAGGAAGAGCAAAGGGATTAGGGGAGGAGAGGAGATGGTGATGATGGGTGGAGGAGCAAGAAAGTCACTGGACTCATCAATGACACAAAAGTCTTCAGGGTTCAGGGCCTTTGGAGTCCTCCAACCCTGCTCTCTTTGATTCCCGTGGTCTCTCCGTTTCCTTGCCTGTCTCTACGCTTCTTTCTTTGAGTCTCTCTTCTCTGACTTTTCTTTGGGGCGAGGGTTGGCTGTGGGAAAGGGGAAGGCTTAAGCATTTCTCTCCACCCCTATCCTTTACCACCTGGCCCTCCTCCTTCTCCCATCTCCCTGACACTGCTAGGGACATCTTCCAGGCACAGTCCAGGAGACAAACAGCAGCATTCTGGCCTGAAGCAATTTTTTTTTTTTAATTACCCACCCAGAACATCTCTACTCCACCCACCATTCTGGTTCAGGCCCCCTCCCTTTGCTAGCCTTCCTGACCAGTCCTGTAAGCCTCCTCCTCCTGCTCCTCCTCCGTTTCTTTCCAGCTACCTCTGCCCCTCCCTCAGCCTCTCTCTTACTCTCATTTTTTCGTGATCTTTCCCCTCAATTTTTCCTTTTTCCTTTTCTCTCTCCCTCCTCCTCTCACCCTCTCCTTCCCCCTCTCCATTCCAGATTTCCGGTTCCCTTCTTGGGGCCAGGAGGGAAGACTCTTCGCTGTTTTCCTCTGCTGTCCTGAGTCTATCACTCTTCTGCCTAGCCCCCAGCCCCTCTGCAGAGATGCTGAGTGCCAGAGACAAGCCTCCAGAAGAGAGGGGAGCTGTGGGGCTTCAGGGCTTCGCCATTGACAAGAGCTTTCTCACCAGCCCCAAAGGCATCCTTCTGGAAGTCGAACTGGTAACCCTCAGCCCTGCCTATCCAGTCACTCTCCCCCTCTCTTCACTTTGCTTCCCTCACTTCCCCCATTCCCTCCTCCTTGGATTCTGCTTGCTTTCCCTAGGGGGCTTTTCCTCCCAGCTTTACTTCTTCCCTCCCTTCCCGGACTCATTCAAACTTCACTTAACTCCCTTCTCTCTGCCTCTTGCCCCCAACTTGTGCATCCCTCACCTCAGCCTCTCACGTTCCTTTTCACCCAGGTGCGCCTTATCAGTCAGCTTCTCCTCTTGCCTGGCTCTTTCTCTCTCTGGGTTTCATTTGTAACAAGAAGGACTGAAGTTAGACATGAAGGTTTTTTTTTTTAATACAGGGAGAGAATGTGAAAAACTGAAACAGAGTAAGGCAGGTATTTTCTGCTTTGGGGGATCTTAAAAAAACCTCTCATGCCTGGCTAATTCCAGGCCAAGTTGTGAATCGAGGAAGGGCTTTGATCCCACCAACCTTCTTTTCCTTTGGCTTTCCCCCTTTTTCTCCAGGCATTTATCATCCTCACTCTCTTTCCGCACCCTAATCAAAGTCTACTTATAGCCTCACAGCCCTTTTCGTTTTAGTAAAAAATTAAGTCCCTCTTTAAGGATCATTTGCACCTGAAATCTTATTGATCGTTGTGGGTTTAGAGACTTTACCCTCTGGTAAAGGGAGAGCTCTAATTAGATTTTTTTTTTTGCAACAAAACACACCCAGGTGCCCTTAAGTCAAATGGCAGAGGAGCAACATCTGTGGAAACCTGGGACACTTTGAGGTTGTTTTTGGGAGGGAGGCCATCAGCAGAGGTTGGGGGACGGGGAGGATGGAAAAGGTGGAAAGAGACGAAAAGGAACTTACCTGAGGAAGAGCTGCTGGGAAGAGGAAATGGCCATCCAATTTTATATGATTTTTCTCAACAACTTGGTGCAAAGTTCAGGGCTTTTTTGTTTTTGCTGATGCTGAATAACTAAAAGCAATGTTGTAACCTGTTTCAGTGTTGGTACCCAGTGCAAGATTTTAGCATCAACATCCTAGTTATGGCTCTGGGTAAAAGAATATCTATAGAAATCATAGCTTGCAGAAATGACCCTTAGGTCAAAGGCTCTGCTGGCAGAATACAAATTTTGACCAGCTGGCAGATTGCAGGTTGGTCATCTGAGGGCCAGGTTAACTCATTTCAGAAGGGCTTCCTTACCAGAAGGTTGGCTGTGGGTGATAATTTTTTTTTGCCATACCAACTTAGGGAATTATCTACAAACGCAGAGGAGTTTTGATCTGATTTGGTGGAGGGATGAAATAGATATTCTTGGAATGTTGAACTAAGGACCATCAGGGATTAGTGAGCAGGCAAGTGACAACAGCTTTGTTTTAAGGCAGGGAAAGGCAGTAGGCTCATAAGTGCACAGATTTAAAACCCTAATGGGCTTTTGAGGTGATTTAGTCCCTGCAGAATCAGGATTTGAACCCGTATTCTGACTTCAAGTTCAAGGCTCTTTTTGTCTATATCATGAGTGTCTCTCCCAAAGCCCTTGGAATCACCCTTAAAAACATCAGCCTTCCCCAGTCTGACCTGGCTCATCCATCTGGTTTGTGTAGCCGCTGTTCCCAGGAGGCATCAGAATGTCTCAGTGGGTGGGGTAGGAAGGGAAGACAAAGGTTTTTGATATTTTGGTTTCTGTTTTACCTTCTGGGGATTGGTGGGTAGTGGCAGAGAGAGGAGGGACAACCTCATTACCAAAAAAAAAAGTTTTGTTGATTTTTTTGTGTGTGTTTATATTATGGCCATTTACAGATATACCCCCCATAGTCCCCCATAAACCCTCTTTAAAATTTTTTTCTTTTTTCTTGTTGTGAGTTTGACAAACACCAATAAAGACTAACATTTCCCAATGCAAAGAATAGAAGAGGATTGTATATGGCAGTGTGAATTTCTGTTATGTGTAGCTTTCAAAAAAAGTTTGTATTGATTTTGACATGGTAGTTCCAGCACTATCCTGCTTACTTGTATCTCCTTCTGAAGAGCCTTCTTTTGTAACAAAGAGAAACAAACAAAACCAACCAGGAGAGCAATCGGATCTGGCTGTGTATGTAGCATTCTGCATCTACAGGCCCCTACCCCTCCAAGGAAGGGAGAAAGGAGCATTTCTCATCTTTTCTCAGGGCCGACATTGGTCATTATAGTTGCACCGAATTTGGCTTTTTAAAAAAACTGTTCTTTTCATTTGTATTATTGTACCAACAATTCTTGTCAGGCTGGATCTTTCCCCTGGGATGGAGAAAGCCAGGCTGAAGCCCAGTTTGGGATGGCTGTGAGGCTGGGTGGTAGGAGATTCTGGACACCTCCAGGGCACTCAGGATGGTTCTGCCCCACAGGCTCTGACTTTCATCATGGCTATGTGCTTTGCCGCCTCCATCTCAGCCTACATGGCAGCCCCACTGCTTGAGTTCCTCATCACGCTGGCCTTCATCTTCCTCTATGCTACCCAGTACTACCAGCGTTTCCAGCGCCTCAACTGGCCCTGTTTGGTGAGAAGGCAGTTCCTCCCAGCCCTCTGGTGTAGCTCTCCCCATCCCTTTCTCCTTCTACCCTTCCAAACCATCTTCCCTTGGTATTCCTGCCCAGGTCAGTCTTTGTTTTTTGTTTTGTTTTGTTTTGTTTTTTTGTGTTTTGGCTAGGCAATGGGGTTAAGTGACTTGCCCAGGGTCACACAGCTAGTAAGTGTTATGTGTCTGAGGCTGGATTTGAACTTAGGTACTCCTGACTCTAGGGCCGGTTCTCTATCCACTGCGCCACCTAGCTGCCTCCCAGGTCAGTCTTTGATCCAGCCACCCTCCTTGTCTCTGCACCCAAACTTGGTTTCCCTTCTTTAACTTTCCAATTTGGGATGCCATATTTCTTAAAAAAGAAAGAAAAAATACTCAGACAATTGACTCAAAAATAACAGAGCTCATTTATGTATGATATTACAGCAAATATGCATGTGAGTCATTTGATCATAGAATCTTAGTGCCAAAAGGAACTGTAGATTTTATAGACAAGGAAACAGACTGTGAGGGGAAAGTGACTTGTCCAAGGCAACATAGCAAAGTGGTGGGCAAACTTGGAAGCTAATACAGGCTAGAAGTACTTAAAATTCTACTTCTCCTTCTCCCAATGTTCCCAACCTTTTGCTTTGTTTTCACACCATCCCCACCCCCCATCCCAGTTGCGCAGTCCCTGCAGATAGACTATCAGGGGAAGTAGAGTTAGGAAGGAACCTGAGGTCCAGTACCATAGGGTCTAAAGCTTAATTTGGAGTAGATTTGCCTCTACTCCCTTTCTTGCTCCATCCTGCCAAGTTAGGGATCATCTGTGCAAGGTAACTCTATGTTTCTTTCTAATAATCAAGCCCAGGGCAAACCAGACAGCCCAGAAGACCATGAGTTGGGGAGAGGGGATGGCAATCGGTCTGTTCTGAACTCTTCCATCAGCTTTGCCACCCTCCCAACCACTCCCAGTTAGGGCGAGTCGGCTCATTGATGAAATAGTGGTTTGGGTGCTACCTCAGGGTCCCCAGCTTCCTCAGCATTGGCCCTGCCATTGTCCCCCTCTTTCCCCTTTTGTCTGATCTGCTCCCATTCTTCTCTCCCTCCCAGGACTTCCTTCGATGTGTCAGTGCTGTCGTCATCCTCCTTGTCGTGTCCTTCGCGGCTGTAGTCTCTCGGGAGGGACCTGCCATTGCTGCTTTTGTGAGTGCCCTTTCCCTTCATAGACTCCTAGTCTATGCCCTCCTTCTGCTCCTCTGCCCTACCAGGCACTATTTGCCATTGTTCCCCAAAGATCACCCCCTGGTTGAGAGCCCAAGCCTTATTTGTCCCTGGGGGAAGGAGGCCGGGTGATATTTGGGTAGGGGGCCCTTAAGTCTTCCGGCTCCTCTTCCTCCTTCCCCCAGAGGCAGACTGCCTCTTAATCCTGTTGCATGGCCTCTTTCCACCCCACCCCTCTCCCTTCACTATCCTCCTCCCTTCTCTAATCTTACAACCTCTACTGTTTCACCCCAACTCTCCATACCTTCCTCCCTGCCACCCCAGGTTTTCGGTGTTATCGTTGTTTTTGTCTTTGTCTATGATGCCTTCAAGATCTACCAGGCAGAGATGGCACCCAGCCCCACCCCCGGTGAGTAGGCATGCTGACCTACAGCCTAGGACCAATCAGTTCTCTTCTTCCCTCCCCCTTTTTTCAACAGAGGAGGGATAATGTGTGTGTGGGGGGAGAGCCTTAGTCTGTGTTCTCATGCCCTCTCTCTGGTTACCTTTTTCCAGGGGACCAATAGTGAGTGAATCCCAGAAATTCTGGTTTCTATCATGAATCCTGTAGTTCCTAAAAGCCTCAGAAACCTGCTGGATCCCCAGGGGGCCACCCAGCCTGAGGAGAAATGAGCAGGGGAACAACTCTCCTGCTTCTTGAGGCTCCCCCCAAGGCCAGGAAGCTCACAGAATCTTGAATGTGTATTCAGCCAGCTCTCCAGCAGCAAGACCCAGGTGGCCACTGGACCAAAGATTGATGCTGGCAGTTGGGTGGGAAGGGAAGGAAGAGAGGAGACAAGCTGGGGAAGGGGTTGGGTCTGGCTAAACCCTCAGATTCCAAAGACTGTTCACAAATTAAAGGTGTCAAATCCTGGGTCTGAGTCTGTCTCTTTCCCAGTAAGCTAGGTAAGTTCTGAATGTAGAGGTGTTTTTTTTTTTCTTGGAAGACTCTGTGTGTGTGTGTGTGTGTGTGCACGTGCGCGCACGTGCGTGGATGTGTGTGTGAGAGAGAGAGTGAGAGAGATATGGTAGAAGAGTGAGGGGATCGTTAACAAGGATCAGGGAGAATATATTTGCCTAGAGATTTGTAGATTTTGGTAAGAGAAAAAATTATTTATACAGATGTGTTAAGCCAGATATTACAAAGAGAAGCAGATATGGAAAGAAAAACCAATCATATGGAAATGCCTGGTGGGGGGGGGAGAGGAAGAGAGAGAGGGAGAGAGAGAGAGCGAGAGAGAGTGAGAGAGAGAGAGACAGAGAGAGAGAGACTGAGACTCTAAGGGACAGAGACAGCAAGCTTTGTTCACTTTGGATAGTGAATAACTGGTTAAGAAAATGGTGTCAGAGAAAACAATTTGGATTTCTGGACCAATAAAATATGAGTTCTTGTCCAGGGTTTCAGTGTTCCTAACAAGAGATGGTAAAAATGTCTGTAGATGGTATACTCAAATATATCTCCTGAGAAGTATACTCCTTTTCTTTCTTGTATGTCTTGGAAAATAGGTGAATTTTCTAGAAAAGGTGTGAATTCATCTCTCCTTATTTCACCATGTCCCTTTTTTTCTGGCATTCATGACAATTAGGAGCAATGAGTTGACACCTCATTGCTGACAAAGATCATATCTATGCCTTTGGGTTTCACCTTTAAGTGAGAGGGCCCTCCTGAGGAAGGGGTGTGTGTGTGTGTGTGTGTGTGTGTGTGTGTGTGTGTGTGTGTGTGTGTGTGTGTGTTACATACAGACATAGACTCAGTTCTCTGGAGAGAGGCTGGTACAACCAAGTAGTTCCTACAGTCCCAATATGTGCATGGGGGAATAGTACTAGATTGAGACACAGAAAAAATTAGGGCAATGAGAGATCGTACTGACCGGAGATATCAGAAGTTCTGGGGAGGGAATGGAGTATTCTTCTGAAGGATAAGGCAGAGAGAAAAAGAACTTCAGCAGATGGAGATATGAAAGGAGAGGAGGAGCTGACAAAGGATTGGATCAACCCAGATTTATCTCTTCACTGGTACTGAGTCATGAGGACTATGTTGGTCTTAAGGAAAAGTAAGATCCAGCAAAGTAGGGGATTTCTGGACTTCCTAGTAGCCCTGAGTCCCTCTTGCTGAGAGTGTCACCCCTGCTCTGTCTCCCAAGGTAGGACTATGAGGACTGTGTACCTTCCTGAGAGAGGTAGAGGTTCACAAAAGAGAAGGGTTGCTTCATTTTCCAAGCACTAGCAACAACAGGTACTTTCAAAATCCTTAGGGTGGGGACAAGGCATCAAAGAATAGAATTTTAAACTACTGTGTAGGTCCTCAGGAAAGACGGCCATCAAAGGGAAGGGAAGTTGTATTGACTATTTATATGCTTAGGTATGAGTGCTTTGTGTTTTCTGTCAATTTAAATAAAATTTTCCTTATACCCAATGTCTGGTTCTTGCAGTTCTTGTATGAAAGAGCTGAAGGGATTTGGAGCAAAGCTTTTTAACCTTTTTCTTTTTTGTTATGGACCCCTCCTCAGTATAATGTTTTTAGATGTATAAGATAGAATACATAGGATCATAAAGGAAGCCAATCATATTGAAATACAGTTATCAAAATATATATAAAAAGAAAGAAAACAAGTTCATGGACTCCAGGCTAAGAACTGTTAACCTTAGCGAGACAAAAATCAAATTCCAGTGTTCACAGGGAAATCCTGAATATATAGAAAATTGAGTCAAATTATGATGTTCTCAGGAAAAACCCTGGATAGGGATGTGAGCCATAGACTTAGATCCTGAGAGCTCTAAGAATTGAACCAGGTTCATGAGAGCTGGACCTCATGTGAACCCAGAGATTCAGTAAAGGGTCATAAATTACAAGCATTTGCCTAAAAGTTGTAAATTTAGAGCTTGAAACTGAAAAGGAAGGAGGAAGGATAAAACTGACAGGTATATTCTCCAGACTAAGTCACCTAAGAGTAGCTACAAACGCAGGAAACAGAATAGCCCTAAAGACATCTAGGAATTCTCAGGACACAAAAATTCAAGAAAGGAAGTAGTGATAATACGGCTGACAAGAAAAGCAACCTAGAAATCCCAAGGCAAAGAAACCAATCTGACCTCATAGGAATCACTGAGGGTGGGATTCATAACTGCATATGGCTTTAGAAAGGGGCTACCATATTTGAAAGGAACACACTAAGCAAAAGCATGGTTCGGTGCACGTGGGAAGGATGTGAAGGAGAACATGTGGGAAGGAAGAAACGGGAAGAATTTGGGTGACAAGGGTGACAAGCAATGAATTCAATGAAGGTAGAAATAGAAGCCATACCGTCATTTCCCCCAAACTCAGCCCTCTTTCAAACTTTGCTGTTTCTTTGGAAGGCACCACCAATCTTCCAGTCTCCTAAGTTCTTAAGCCCAGAGTTATCCTTTTCTTCTCACCCATAACTCTGTGATTAATTGGCAATCCTGTCATTCTGCCTCCCCAGCCTCTCTTGAATCCTCCCTTTTCTCTCTCCTGAGACATCCACTATCTTAGTTCGGGCCCTCATCAGCTCTCACTGAGACTATTGCAATGCCTTCTGTAGGAAAAAAGACTTCTTACAGTGTTTGGAAAATTATTATATTGTTAAAATCCAACCCTATGTGTTTAAAGGCTGTCTATACTCATAATGTCACCTGACCCCAGTAACTCTCTAGGAATGCTGGAGATGGCTACAAAATATTTTGGGTTTTTCTCTGTCCTGGATCCACCCCAAGTATTCTTGTTTGGGGTTACAGCACCCAGGACTTATGATGGATCGTTACAGTTACTCATATCTATTTCAATCTCCCTTGCTTTCAAGTTGCCTTCTTGGCAACTTTGCTTAACCACGTACACATGGTTCATGTGCTGGTACCTTTGTATAAATTCTGTATAATACAAATCTTCCAGAGCCTGGATGAGAGGGAGCCACATTTCCTTTCTGGCTCATCCTCCTCTATCAAATGACCTAATAAATTTCTTTCTAAAACTATTTCAGATTTTGGGGATGTTCTCTTGAACAACACCTCCTAATTGGTCTCCATGCCTGCAGTCTGTCTTCTCTGGTCCATCCTCCACACAGCTGTCAAAGCGATTTTCTTTAAGCCCAGATCTGCCCATGTTGTTCCCATCCTCAATAAACTTCAATAACTCCCAATTACCTCTCCAATAAGATATGAATCCTCTGCTTAGCTTTTCCAGCCTGTTACCACCTGGCTCCAACCTTATTGCATATTATTCCCTCTCCTTTGCTTTATGATAAAGCCAAACTGGACTTGTCTCTTTTCTTCACATAGAGTACTCCATTTCCCATCTTTGAGCCTTGGCACTATTTTCCATGCCTGGATCACATTCCTTCCTCCTCTCAAACTCAAAGAATCACTCTCTTCCTTCAAGATGCGGTCCAAGTACCATCTTCTACATGAAGCCCTTCCTGAGTGTGGTCTGAACCAGATTAAAATGTAATTGGGAAATAGTTAACCAGATCAATACAAATGCCGTAAAACATAGATAATATTACATTTTAAAACTAAGTCAATATGCAGCCTGCAGGGATCCTTATGTATGGTTTAGTGGGGTACATTTCTTTGTGAGTTTGACACCACTGCCCCAGAGGATGGGTCTTCCCTACTTTCAATACAGGGTACCCTTAGGTCTCTTGTAAAGGAAGAGAAGACAGGGAGCAGGGAGAAAGGACAACAGCATTGATTCAAAGTACATGTTTATTGTGCATTGCTCATTCTGGACCCCAGGGATGGAGGAGAACAGAGGGCCTTGCTTGGGTTGTAGGGAGGAGGCTTACTCCTCATCGTGCATCTTCTGTAGGAGAAGAGAATAGGAGAGGTGAGAGGGATATCCTGGCAGGAGGAAGAATAACAGCCAGAGGTGTGAGGATGGGTTGGAGATGTGAATATCAGAATTCAGTATCTAAGGTAACTAGGTGGTGCAGTTCATAGTTTGCTGAGCTTGGAGTCAGGAAGGCTTTGGGTTTGAATCGTGGCTCTGCCACTTGCTAACTGTGGGATGCTAGGCCAGTCATTTAACCTCCTTCACTTTCCTTATCCATTAAATGGGGATAATAATAGCCCTTGACTTGTAGGTTTGTTGTGAGAATCAAATCAGATAACACTTGTGAAGTGCTTTGCAAACCCCAAAGTGCTAAATAAATGTTTTTGTTTTGTTGTTTAGTTGTTTTTCACTGGATTCTTCACAACCTCTTTTGGGATTTTCCTGGCAAAGATACTAGAATGGTTCACCATTTCCCTCTCAGGCTAATTTTACAGATGAAGAAACTGAGGCAAACAGGGTTAAGTGACTTGCTCAGGGTCACACAGTTAATAAGTGTCTCAGGCTAGATTTGAGCTCAGGAAGATGAGTCTTCCTGAATTCAGGCCTGGCACTCCAAAACTGTGCTGCCTAGCTGTTGTTATTAATTCAGAGGGTGCGGGACGTGACAGATTTGTGAGATATTGTGTGTGTGTGTGTGTGTGTGTGTGTGTGTGTGTGTGTGTGTGTGGGTTTCACTGGGAGTGAGAGGTAGTAGCTTTGTTGGCTCACGTGTGTAAGGATGTCTCTGAGGGAGGGGTCAAGGGATTTTTTTTCCTTTTTCTTTCTTTTTTTTTGGTGGGAGGAGAAGCTCCTTGGGAGAGTCCAAGATCTCATGGGATGTCTCTAAGAGAAGTCACAGGTCTTAGGGATTTAAAGGATTCTCTTTGAAAGTAAAAGGTCAGGGTCCCAAGTTCACAGGGTCTATATTTTGGGGGAAATCGCTCTACTATCAACTCCAAATATCTTGTAGTTGTAGCTTTATAAATCTGCGCAAGTTACCCTGTTATGAATATTCATCACCTGGGTAGGACTAGACCAATGGGAGGTTGTGACTTCAGAATTACATGGGTTATGAGGGGAGGAGCTGAAGACTATGTGTGGGGCGCTGGAAAAGATCTGGTGCTGAATAGAAAGCTAGTGGGGGCAGATATGCATGAGGCTACAGCCAGAGTCTTTTCCCCAGAGTCGGGGAGGCTTGGAGCAATTTAGTCTAGAAATCACAGAAATGGTCAATTCCTCTAGCCAACTAAAGAATGGGGACCTGGAGAAGACTGGCTGTGGATTGTGCTGGTTCAAAATTCTGAACTGTAGGGTCTTAGATGTAGAGTTGAAAGGGACCTTAGTGGTCATCTAGTTGACCTCCTTCATCATACAGATGAGAAAACTGAGACTCAGAGAGGTTGTCACTTGGCCAAAGTCACACAACTGGCAAGTAGTAGAGCTAGGATTTGGATCCAGGTCCTCTACCTCTAAATCCAGTGCTTTATCATGGCTACCATTTTATAAAGTTGTATACATACTCCTGTGATGAAATACACCTTTGCTAAAGAACAATGATAGGTACTGAAGAAAGGGAAAAGAGGAGGAAAAAAGGTGCTAGAGGTAGAGAGATGGGCATGTATAGTGGCTGTAGGAGTTCCCTAGTGAAGCTAGTCCTTTGGCTGGCAAGACTTTATTATTAGGAATGTAGGGGAGATAGTCTAGGATGCATGGGGATTAAGTCTGTGTTTTCTGGGGCCAACTCTGTTGGGTAGTTGTTGTTTTCCCCATGTTCCTTCATGGGGTGAGAAGTTGAGAAGAACTCAGGGAATATATCTTGGGGAATCACAAATTGGGGTCTCATGGCCTAAGCTTAGGGCTTCTAAGTGTCAAGCTTTAAGGGCCTTGGGCTTCTGATTCATGGATGGGGGTTGGGATATGCAAGGATACTGCTTAGGGTAGAAGGAAA